ATTATAGCCTCTGTGTACTACCTAGTATAGACCGCTTACATGTCAGACTGAGGACCCTCACCTACCAAGTAGGCAGAAGTAACACATATGTTCAGAATACTATACTGAAGAAAGAAATTGTAAAAAGATTTAGAGTAACTTTTATTCAAAAGCAAAAACAAGTGGGACTATTTATGAAATGAAGGTATAGTAGATGAGTCTCATATGCCAGTCCCACTGGCATGAAGAAAATAAATGCCTTCATGTTCAATCTTCTATACTACAATAGTTTATGCACTTTAAGGAAGTCAAATTTTGAAATCAAAAGAACAAAGGAGAGGAAACAATTTCTGCTATTTGAAAACAGTATATTCCACTTGGTTAATGGTAGAAATTTTATGAAAAACACAAGGAGGCTCATTTTATAAACTTACCAGAGAATTTTAAATGATAAAAATATTAAGTATTAAATAACCTTTGTGTGTATAAAAGTACCCTAAATTAGCTCTCAAAACCTTACACAATGATTATACTTTTCAAAGTGATTTTACTCAACATCAGCCAAGGATTTAATTAGCACAGAGTTGAGATCAAAGTTACTTGCCTTTTTAAGGTATGAATGTGTGAACATGTATGAGAATATACACAATCATCCTTCAATATTTGTGAAGGATCAGTTTCAAATCACCCCACCACCACTTTGGACGCCAAACCCAATACTCAAAATAAAATAGTGTAGTATTTGCACATAACTTAAACATATCCTCCTGTACCATCAGTCATCTTCAGATTACTTAGCTTCCCATACAATGTATATGCTATGTAAAGAGTATACTTTATTAATTAGGAAATTATGACAAGAAAAGTCTGTACATGGATGCAATATTTTTCCTGAATATTTGTAATCCAACAGTTGGTTGGATCTGAGGATATAAAACCCACATACCTAGAAGGTTGGCTATATATGTACATGCACGCACATACATTATGTGAGTATAAATGTGTATAAATGTATATATACATACATATATAAGATAAACCTAAAATAAATTTCTATAAATAAAGTTTTCTATCAGTGATGGTTATAAGCTTCTCTGTAATTCTTACAAACACCAGTAAAGGAATCTTAAGCCTATAGATAATTCTTTAGAAAGCTATAGTGGAGCTGAAGGTGTGGCTCAAGCAGTAGGGCACCTACCCAGTAAGCAGAAGACTCTCAGTTCAAACCCCAATACCACCAAAAAAAAAAAAAAAAAAAAACCCTATCGTAGACACTAGCTAAAAATGTATTTTATTGTGTAAGCAGGTTGTTTACATAGCCTAATGATAAAGCTTAACTAATAAGCTCTGTACACAAGCCTAGATGAAATAAAAACCAATCTAAATATTTGGTCGATTTGTGTGTGTGTGTGTGTGTGAGCTTTGTGCTTGCAAAGCAGGCATCCTACCACTTGAACCACACCCCTAGTCCGTTTTGCTCTAGTTATAAGTGGTTTTCATTTAAATTTTCTTCTTTTTTTTTTTTTTTGGCAGTACTGGTGTTTGAACTCAGGGTCTCATGCTACCACTTGAATCACTCCACCAATCCTTTTTCTGTGTTTTTTTTTGTTTTTTTTTTTTTTGAGATAGGGTCTCACGAACTATTGCCTGAGCTGGTCTCAAAACTCAATCCTCCTGATCTCTGCCTCCCAATTAACTAGGATTACAGGCATGAGCCACCAGAGCCCAGTTTGTTTGTTTTTTTTTTTTCCGGTACTGGGGTTTGAACTTGGAGCTTCATGCTTGCTAGGCAGGTGTGCTCTAGCTTGAGCCAAACCTCCAGCCCTTTTTGCTCTGGTTATTTTGTTTTTGGTGGTACTGGGGTTTGAATTCAGGACATTATACTTGCTAGACAGGCACTTTACCACTTGAGCTATTCTACCAGCTCTTGTTCTGGTTATTTTGGATATGGAGTCTCACTTTTTGCCTAAGCAGTCCTGGGTCAATTCTCCAGTTTTATGCTTCCCACTGTCACTAGGATGACAGGCATGCACCACTATGCCCAGCCTTTGGTTGAAATGGGGTCTCATGAACTCCCAAATTGGGCTGGCCTCAAACTGGATATTAGCTTTCCAAGTACTTAGGATTAGAGATACCAGCACCTGGCTTCATGTTATGTATCTTAAAGATTGATTTGCCACAGAATATAGAGAACTTCTGTTTTAGTCAGAGATGAACAGAAAGATATTAAACGTTAATTATGGAGTTCATAAAAGCTCTTTTATGTGTTTCAAATTTTTTTTGGTGGTGCTGGGGCTCAAAGTTCCAAATAATTTAAAGCAAACCATGGTGGAAGATGTTTAGTCAAGTCCCAAAAGAATACCAAGCAAAGACATTGTTTCAGTTCTATTTTAGTTCCATTCCCCCTCAAATCATGATTTTAGCATCATACAGAAATGGCCTGCAATTTGATCTGCCTTCTCTACAAGTTTCCATAGAAAAACTATTAATATCTTGTACAAGTGCCAAATTAAATAAAGCAACTAAACAAAGTATTGTATACAGCTCAGGAAAGAATAAAGTTCTAGATACAAACCTTGGAAGGGAGAAGCAAGAAAAATGTTTCATTCATGAAACAGTCAATGTTTCAAGTTGTTCATTCCATAAGGGATTGTTAAACAAAATTATGAGGCTATTGTCTGGTCTACATTAAGCCCCAACAGACCAAACCAAAATGGAGTCCCTTATACCAAATGCCACATAATGAAAATGAAACATTAAAGAAGCAGATGAGTTTTTCCTGAAAACAGAAGATTTCATAATAAGGATAATACACACTGGTTTAGCCCTTATAAAAAAAGAAACCTGAAGTAACCTGATGTTGACCAGTAAGTTTTTTCCCATCATTCTATTTCCTTGTCCTTACCTCACAAGGTGAGGTGTTGTCCACTGGAAGCTCTTGTTCTGTCTTGTAGCATTCGTGATGCCCCAATTCATGATTCTCCGGGACTAACACCTGAAAGTGTGTGCCAGACTACACTATTCCTAAGTGTTGCTTCATAAAATGTCAAGAAAAATGTTATACATAAAAAGCTGAGGGTTCTGCAATTGCCCCACATACCCAATATGTCTATAACTTTTAAAAATTGTTTAATGTTTCGAAGAATATTTCTTCCTAATTCTTCTTGCCCATTAATAGTCTGCAAAGTTAGTATTCTTCAGTTTAAACACTGAGAAACTATGTACATTCTGGGTCCTGTACCATTGCTTTAAGATTAAAAAATTATATAGTAGGAGAAATCTAACAAGGCAACAGACAGAAAACTGCTTAGAAATATTTAATATACAAGATAGATGTGAGTACAAAATGCAAACACTAAAACAAAAGAGTCACATGGCTGTTATTACTGGCATGACAAAAGCATCATGCACATATACAATCACTTTATCAAATTTATTTCAGATTATTTCCTCATTATTTCCATGACTTTATCCAGGCCCTCTTCACCACAGAAAGGTAGAAAGTGGTTAAGTTTACTTATTACAAAGTGATCTTCCTTATGGTAGTCTATGTTTTTCTAATCTAATGCTCCCCAAACTTAACATATGATTCACATGGGAATTTTGTTAAAAATGCAAGTTCTGGGGTTGGGGCCTAAAATTCTTCATTTCTACCAAGTTTCCACATAATACCGACACAACCACACTTTGAGTAACAAAGATCTGATTCATTCTGCAAGCTACTGCCACATTACTCTTCCTAAAAATCACTTGTCTCATATTTATTACTGCCCCAGGAATCCACAGTAACTCAGTGACTCCTGTATAAACATCCACACTCATTTACTGATCCAGAATTTCATTCTGAACAAATCTGATCTTTCTCCTATTATCCTTGTTCCAATCTAGCTGTTTCTGTTTTATTTTTGCAGTGAGATGTATATAGAGTGAACTATAGATTTTAGGTGTGGAATTCAATGAGTTTTGATAACAAATACACACCCAAATAACCACTATCCCTCCAAGAAAAAGATACAAAGAGTGCCATCACAACTCTGTGTTTTGACCCCACTTATAAATGCCCTTGCACCTTTGTACTGCTTTCCCCATGTCCACTAACAACATTAACTCAAGCCCTTCCTTCTTCGAAGCACACCCCAAATTCACTTATATACCCCGATCCAAATAACTATCCCTTTTAAAACCTAGTCATCAACATCTCTCGCTGAATCATGGTGGCCCCTTCATAAGTCTATCTTTATTCTTGAGCCCTTCTCTCCTCATGATAGTATCCACAGAGTTGTCAGAATGATCTCTGAAAGTTATAAATCAAATCAAGTCACTTCTTGCTTAAAACTTTCCAATGGCTTACCAACACACTAAATCCAAATACCTTTTCCTTTTTACTAAGCTCCTCTTCTCTGACTTCATCTCTTGCTATTTTCATTGATTTCTATGCTTTGGTTATAATGAACCTTCTATCTGCTCCTACAACACAGCAAGATTTTCCTACCTTAAAGACTGCATTAAACATTTCTCTCTTTTCTCTACTACATTTATCACTGGCTACTTTTTTGCCATTCTGGCCTTAACGTCAAAGTCAATTGTTCACAGAAGCCTTCCCTGACAAGAAGACCTAAAGTATGTACTCAGTCACTCTCTAATGCAAATTCTATTTTAATTCTCTACATAGCATCAGCACTGATATGTATCTTCTTTATGTACTTGTTTTTTCATCTCTTGTCACAAGAACATGACTTCCATAACAATGGCATTTGTCAACAGCATTCACAGCTATAACTAACTCCTACACCTAAAAGAGTGCCCACCTTAATACAAGTAGATGTTAACAAATGTTTTCCAAATAAATATGGGAACATATATGACATAATATATATTCATATGATGTCCTAATCATGATCTGTCATGAAATTTAAAAATAAGAAAGATAGTTACTGCTGGTTATCAAACAAGATAAAACCTCAATAAAGAAAGTGAAGAAAGAATTGCACCTTTAAATTGCAGCAAAAATAACATAAAACACGGGTTAAGTTGAAGTTTAATTCACATAAAGTTTAATCAGTCAAGTTAATGAAAATATCAAAAATTTTGAGTTAGTGTATGGCAGCGGAATTTAACTTCTGTTGCAAGTAATACAGTGTTTGGTGTTTCCATGGCTGATGGGCTATGCTGCAGAAAGAGCAATTGCATTAAACCTTAGCTCATCAGGGTCACGTTCCATAAACTTCTTGCAAACTTCTATGGCGTCCTGGGGGGAAAATACAACTTTTCAGTTTATGTTTTGCTTACAAATGATTAATAATAATTTCATATTTTTCTAGTTCATACTGCTTTTATACTTCAGACTTCTTTTTCCAAATGAGAACAAAGAATATCAAAAGAATGAACAGGTGGTGGCCTAATTTGCTTAATGTGTAAGATACGGTAAGTATTCTGACTTAAAATATTAAAAAAAAACCAAAAACTTTTAACATGGAAATTACAAATTTCATTTATTTTAAGCCATACAACTGATCAATATTTTAAAATCTCTAAAATTAGGACTAAGATACAACTTATGAGAAGTTGGGTTTAATGAAATAAGGGATGTAATGAGCACCACTTTCAATACTATTCTTATCACTTTCAAAATTTGACACTAGTTCACACAAAGAGCTCTGGAAATCTCTGCATTTGTTGTAAATTTTTAAAACTAATTTGAATTTTTGTTTTGGGGTTTTCTAAAAAGATTAAGGGCAAAGAAGCATCCAAATACACAGGAAATGTTATACAAATTATCTTTAGAGGTGTTTTAAAGATCACAAGAATATCAATAACTCTTTAAATGGGGCAACAAGTTCCACTGTTACCTCTAATAAAGTTTCATCACTAGTTTTCCCATGGTTAATTGGAAATGGTTTCCGTCCATCTGTGGAAATAGACAAACAAGGTGAATGCTTAGCTGTTTTTTACAGCAATAATGTACTCTAGCTTCTTTTTTTTTTTTTTTTTTTCATTGTTTCATTAGAGTGTGTGATCCTCATCTTTGGGCTAACACTGAAAAAAATTATTCAAAATCCTAAATAAATATATGTTGAAATTATAGTACCTGGAATGTAATTCTTAGTTTGCAAGAACTACAAAGGAAATATTTTCCTATAACTAAAATATTAGACATGAATACTTAGCTATCCATATTTCTATGAACTTATATATATATCTCTGTAAATTGGAATGTATATTTTTTAATAATGTATCAGAAAACAATTCCTTAAAATATCCTTTTGTGACAGATGCTTATTCCTCAATGGCCTATTTGTTTTACAGTTATAAAAATCTATTATATTATGTGCCTCTCCATTGTGTATTATTTTATCTTTTTATCTTTTAATTTTTACATAAAAGTAAAGGTGTAAACAGTGTAGTCTTTCCTCTCTTACCCAAATTATAAATTTATATTCCTGGGTCCTAGCATTTACTTTTTTGTATCATTCCTTAGACTTAAGAGCTAATAAACTCTAGTAAAGCACTCTATCACTTGAACCATGTCCCCAGCCCTTGTTTGTGTTGTTTTGATTGGTTGGTGGTTTTTGGCAGTACTGGGATTTGAATTCAGGGCCTCACACTTGCTAAGCAGACACGAGCTAATAAACTCTACTGAGTGATTCTCCTTCATATGCAGCTGTTTTTTAAGGTAATGCAATTAATTTCAAACATTATTATAGACTAAGATTATTAAACATTGATCTTGAAATATCAAAGAACACAACAAAATAAAATTGTATACAATTTTGTTATGATAACAGAACTTATGATTTTTATTGCTAGTCTAACTCTGAAGTTGGCTACCTAAAACCCACGGGCCAACTCCAGCCTTCAGTCTACTTTTATATTTCCCTTAAGCTAAGAATGATTTTTATGAGACAAAGAGGAAGAAGAAGAAGAGGAGAAGCAGGAGGAAGAATAGTGATAGAAATAGTATGTAGCCTACAAAACCTAAAAATATTTACTGCCTCCCCCTTTACAGAAGAATTTTGCCAATAAAAGCTACCATTGTTCCAACTATGGATACCACAAAACTGCCACCTCCCAACAACTTAGAGTATAATTTAAGTAAACGCATATTATCGAGTAGAATCCAGAAGGCTAGAGATCATCACACCTACAGGGAAAGGGAAGGGAAAAGCTGCATACTGTGCATGTGTCATATGACTCTATGACTTTAGTCCAATTGGGCTGCACAGGTTATAGACTGGATAGGAAAGAAGACAATAGCCAAGTTCTTTGGCAGTGAATAACCAATTCATTTAGATCTTGTCTTTCGGATAGTTTGATTACAAGACCCCTGAGAAAGCTATGGACCACAGAGTTGAACAAAAGACTGGACAAACACAACATAAACAAGAAAGTATGTATAGCCAAGTATCAAGTATCACCAGTTACCCAAGAATAGCCAATAACATGAATGATGGAGCTTAAAAAATAGATATAGTACAAAAATAAAGACTTTTAAAAGTACTATATACACAAAGGAAGAATGGAATGTTATTATATTAAAGTACTAAAAAAAAATTAGAGAAGTGCCAGGCACCTATGGCTCACACTTGTAATCCTAGTTACTTGGGAGGCTGAGGTTGGGAGGATCATGGCTCGAAGCCAGCATAAGCAAACAGTTCATGAGAACTGATTTCCAAAATAACCAGAACATAGGCAAACAGTTCATGAGACCTCATTTCCAAAGTAACAGAGACCTGTGGCTCAAGTGTTAAGGGTGCCTGTGTTGCAAGCATCAAGCCCTCAGTTCAAATCCCAGTCCCACCAAAAAAAATGAAAAAAGAAAAATTTTAAAAACAGGGGGCTGGGAATACACTCAATGGTAGAGCAATTGTATTTCATATGCAAGGGCCTGGGTTCAATTCCTAGCACAACTACAAGAAAAAAAATTTAGAAGACTAACGAACATTTTAAAATCAAAAATATGACAGCAGAGTTGGAAAACTTGAAATGGATTTAAACCTACAGTTACAGTAAAAAAATCCCAGAGGCCTGAACAAAAGACAGTAATGAAAAATAGGAGAGAAAAATATAGGGTCCCAACAAAGGAATTCTAGAAAGTCAGAATTCTAGAAAGGAAAAGAGAAGACAAATCCAAAGAAAGAAATTTACTACACTGAAACACAGCTGTTGCTAGATTGCACGGACATCCTGAAACACCAAATTATTAATAAAAACAAAACTTGGCAAAGACACATCATCATAAAATGTCAGATTGCTGTGGATAAAGAGAAAATTCTAAAAGTCTGCAGGATTTGGAGGGAGGTATAGGTCACATACAAAGGATCAGGCATTGTAACATTAGACGTCTTAACAGCAATTCGAGTAAGGTAAAAATAAAAGGGCAATCCTTAGTTTGAAAGAAAACTGTTTTCCAACCTAAAATTTTAGATTCAGCCAGGTTATATAAGACATTCAAGATATAAAAATATTTACCTCCCTCTTATCTTCCCTTTTAGGAAACTGCAGGAGGAGGTATTTAGAAGAGAGAGAGGAGAATGATAGAGGGGTGAATTCAACTATGATATATTTTAAGAACTTTTGTAAATGTCCCAATGTACCCCCAGGACAAAAATTAAATACATAAATAAATGAGAGAGAGAGAGAGAATGAGAAAGAGAGAAAAAAAAATGGCATTCAGGAACAGGAGCTGCTACAGGGGAGTAAGTTAAAGGGAATCCCCAGGATGATAATAACAAGACATCCCATGATGAGAAATGTGTACAAAGCCTGAAACAGACAAGAGGACAATGCAAGACATACCTCCAAGAAGAAGAAGTTAGAGATTGCCAGATGTTCCAAGGTATTGAGAGAGTTAGACCAATAAAAAAGAGCCAGGAAAGACTTAACGTTAAATATATTTTTAAATAATTTAGCCAAATGAGCCAAAAGCAAAATAAGGCAATTATTAATTCTGGAGAAATAAAAACATTAAAAGTATGTTAATCATGGTTCAGCTAAGAATACTGTTTCTGTAGTCAGAATAAGATAAACAATAAATCTAAGTATATTGAGAGAAGAAAATGGAAAGTATGTATTCTGTGATTGGGAATGAAGAATAGGAAAGAGGCAAAAAGTGCAAATTTACTCCTTAGCTTCTATTTGGGGAGGTCAAGAATAATTTAGGCAACATCTATCTCCAGCCATGATAGAATAACTGATACTGGTCTAGGCTTCCCTATGGGAACAACTAAAACCCTGGACAAAATATAAAAGTTAGATGGTTTTAGACAATGGAAAATAGGTTGTCTAGAACCATAAGTAAACCATACAAGAATACCAGCTTCTAGCAGGACACATTTACTGGAAACCAGGACAGAAAAGGAAAATCCAAGCCCAGGACAACAGTTTCAAAGAGCAGAGGAGAAAATGAACAGAATTTAAGAAGGACAAGAGATCTGGAATTTGCAAAATACCAGAAAGCAAGCTTTTGTGAACTCTTGCTTTCTCTGGGCCATTCAGAACCCATAAGCCAGCTAGGGGTTGGGAGCAGTGGGATAGGAACTCATGTTGAGATTGATGTGGCCCAGAGTTTGTATATAGGAGAAATGGGTAAATCAGAAATCACACAAAGGATTGTGGCATCAGGATTTAAGACTTTCAGAACATGGAGTCACAAATGTGGAGAAGAACTCTAGGCTAAATCTATGGTATTACATTAGAATCAGAAGTCTTTTGGTGGTTTTTAAATTTTGTTTTGCAATTGAGGATCAAACCCACGGCCTTGTGCATGCTAGGCCAGCACTCTACCACTGAACTACACTTTCAGCACAGAACAGAAATAATGCTGATGTAAATGAATGTTTTCAATATACAAAGATAGGAAAACAGATATAATTGTACATGAGTGTATACCACATTCACATTGGCCAGTGTATGTACATAGTACATTAAAATCTTTCCTAGCTCTATTCTCTGAGAAGGACTAAGGCACTAACATCCCAATCTTGGTTGTGAATACCATTTTCCAGTAAAAGGAACAAGGGCTCCTTGGAGAAAGGGCTGAAAGCAGGACCAGAGAACAGAAAAGATAAGATGGGAACATCTTGTCTCACCTGAAAGAAAGTACTCAAAGAATGAAAATGATAGAAGCCAAGGACAAAAGAGCCAGCTTGAAGTAGTTACCTTCAAAGTCCAAATCTAGGATAATCTGAGCATCAAAACACATTATGTAAAGGATTGTGACCTTTTCTGTAAAATATGATCCATTCTGACAAGAATGAATTAAAAGGAAAAAGAAAAGCTTTTAATATTAAAGGATTTCTTTTTCTTTTCTTTTTTTTTTTTGTGGCTATAGGATTGAACTCTACCACTTGAGGTTCACCCCAGTCCTTTCTTCAGACAGGGTCTCGTGCTTTTGCTCCTCAGTAGACGCATTACAGGCATGAACCGTCATGCCCAGCTTTAAGTCACCACTGACAACCATAATTCAGCCAAATGAATTCAGCCAAAAATCATCAATTGATACTAACTTTGGTGGATAAAAGCTTGATGAGAAACTCCGTATTTACAAAGTCTCAAAGTATCTTCTGAAAAAACATCTATTTATTACTTACTAATTAATAAGCATAACATTTACTTTATAGGGAGAAGCCACAAAGAAAGGGGTTTTTTTCTGCCTAAATATTTTGGATATTACTGACTGTAAGTTTCTTTAAAAGCTGCTTCTATTCACCAATTTAATACTATGCTGCTCAATATTCCCTTTCAATTTATTAGACCCATATCAGGTCTACTGCCACCCATATCAGGGTTACTGCCAGTTTCTACTGTAATGAATCACTAACTGCCCATCTTCATTTGTTCTGTACCTACTTATATTCTCTATAATATTTCAAAGATTTGGCTATTCTTTAGAACTCTGAAATAATTTTAAACTCTCTTAAAGAATCAAAACCAATGGGCCTCTAATTCTGTATCATTCTTCTTGATATAGAAATCTAAACAAAGTAAAACTCAGTAGTTCTGTCTTTGCTGATGTTCTTACCTCAAACCAATTTTAAAATTCTTTCCTGTTAATCTTGACATATATGTAGCTTTCCTTTGATATATGTCCTTCTAAGTACTCTTTTAGTCTCTGAGATCAGAGAGAGCTATTCAATCCAACTGAATTTTTTAGATAAATTTTTCCTTCGCATTGAAATTATTGCAGTTTTTTGGTATACATCTTTTAGATGTTATTGATTGCTCTATAAGTCATTCTGAAAGCCACCCTTACTTTTATGGTCTCTAGTTATAGATTATGTTTATTTGTTTCTTTGGCCTTTTCCAAATCTACTTTCTTTTTTTGCTTTTTTTTTTTTTTTTGCCCCATACTAGGGATGGAGCTCAGGAAATTGCACATACTTGATAAGTGCTACAACCCTTAGCCCACCAACCTACTTTCTTAAAGTCAACAGAATGTGTATGGTAAGTCTCAGCATTCTGTTTACTTTCTCTTCTCATTATTCAAAATTCAGAGATGAAATGTAGAAACTGAAGTCTACAATACTGTTACATCTTATCTTCATGCAAATTTCGAGACTGAATCAGCAAAGCATATCTTCTAAACTGTTCTGCAGGTCTGTTATATATTCTCATGACAATGACTTCTTTTCATCTTAGTTTGCTTTCTACTCACATCACTCTGCTATTGTAGACTGCCCTCACTCACAGTTGTACATTTCTATAAATAACATGTCCTTTCTTTTCCCTGTCCTGTTTAACAGATCAGTTTCTTTTAAATAAAGTGTATGATTCTGCTGCAGCATTTCACACACAAAATTCATCTGAATTTTATGAATTACATTTACAGTCACAATCTGAGTTCTTTTAGAACTCTTCTGCCTTTAAATAAGCTAAGAAAAATGAAAGTGGTAAGTTACTGTACACAGCAAAGGAGAAGTAAAGATCATGGAATATAGAATTACTGATTTTTGAAAAACTTCCTTTCCTTGTTTATTTGGATTTTATTTTAATTCATTTTGTAGTGCTGGGGATCAGACACTCAAGGCCTGTGTATGTTTTCAAACATTCTTCCACTGAGCTACAACCCAACCCTATCTGGACTCTTTTAACCCAAGAAGGTCTCGTGGACACATACAAAACAAAGTCATATGAAAATATATAAGAAGTTTCTTCTATATGAATAAATATGTGGATCTCCTCCAATAAGGTTTTTACTTATGTTTACCTGTAACTAATCTAAAAAAATGTTCAGGTATACCAGAATATCAGTAATTAATCATGGTATGTTGCCACAATCAAGAAGGAACCATTTTAGGAAAACACAGGTTCCTGTAATGCTCAGAGAGCACACAAAGAGACAGTATAAAAGCTTGGAAACTAGTGATACTCATTACTGAACAGAAAACCTGGTCACTAGCCAGGACCTGGTGGCTCACACCCATAATCCTAGCTACTTAGGAGGCAGATATCAGGAAAATTGCAGTTTGAGGCCAATCTAGGCAAACAGTTTGTGAGACCCTATCTCAAAAAACCTTCCCCAAAAAAGGCTGGCAGAGTGGCTCAAGTGGTAGCACACCTGCCTAGCAAATGTGAAGCCCCACATTTCAAACTCCAGTACCACCAAAAAAACAAAACAAACAAATAAAAAAACCAAAAACCCTGATCATTATGAATAGTATAAGTATGTTTTAAAAGTAAGGGCAGTTCATCAAGAAACTGATAACTAATTCAGTAAGTTAGTAAAAATGCTAAAGTGATTTATAGAAATTTTCTATAATGGTTTTTACCCTTCTACTTTGCTAAAATACAAAGGTGGTATAAACATTATTGAGTTAAAAAACATGCTTAAATGTTAAAAAAAAATTCTAGGAAAAAACATTAAAAGGAAAACTGTCATTCTGTCAACTCAATTTTATGGGACAATCAATTAATTTAAGCAAACAATAAATATCAACAATCTTATCTATCATAAATACTTTCCCATTTCCATTTCTTTCCCCAGGACATAGTAAAACAGTTCTTACCTAATTCATAGAGATGCCCATCTACATGAACTAATGCAATAAAATGAAGATCTACTTTTTCATCTATACTTGGTGCCTGAAATAGGAGGAAAAAACACATATTGTCTATATTAGCAGTCATAAATCAATTAAGTGCATGTGAGCACATATGAATAACATCAAATGACATGAGAACACTTATTGAATATAGAATTCAATGTTTAATTGTTGATCTAGTCAAGAGTGACTGTGTCTACACTTGTAATAACACGTTCATCCATGAACAAGGAAAACATATCTTTTTTAGTCTCAACTGATCTAAAGACTAAAGGTCTTTGTCCCTGGGAAGCTCCACTACCTACAAAATGCCTAGTTCATAGCATACACACAACGCACACTTGTTGAATGAAATGAACATAAGCTGACCTTTTAAATTCAAAATAAGAGTGAAAACATTTTTAATAATTCTAAATAGTCAGAAATTCTCTCCAAGTTAAATCTGAAGTATCAAGAAAGTTGAGTTGTTCCCTTAATGACCTGAGTTTAATACTCTCGTGTTTCAACAACACATTGCAAGTAGAGTTAAATAGGTATCTGTACTTATTCTAGATTTGAAAAGTTTAAAAATGAATAGATTCAGGGAAATAGCTCTGAAGATTAAATGGCAGAAAAAAAGATAAGACCAAAAGTACAATTAACTGTAGCTTGTGATTTTTCTCTTGTTTTCTTTGCCTCTTAGTGAATAATCTCAAATGTACACTATATCTGTGTTTTCTTAGCTTAGCAAATTCAATTTGCGTAGGCCATATTTATATTTCTTGAACATTCAAATAGCATATGCCAAGTCAATACCCTGACTGACACTTTATAATATGTGCTAATGGTTTGAAATGAAATGTAATCACTGATAAATGTAAGAACACAAATTTTAAAGGCAAAATTTTTAGGAGGCACAAATCAAATTATATCTCATATTACTAATATGCTTTTATGTGACATAGGGATCGTAACAGAAAAATTGTATTTCACCTTTGATAATTATATTTTCAATAGATGCAACATGAAGTTTTTTTATACAGAAAGTAAAAAGTATAGAATATTACTGTTTTCATTCATTATTGTATTTTATAACATTTACAGAATGCTTTAAAAACATTTATTGATACAGTGACTCATCACATTATTCTTCTGAGAAAATAAGTTCCACATGAACTGATATGACAAATTAGTTCTTCCTAATTTGGATCTGGAACTACAGAATGTTAGTAGTCACTAGTTTTACTTGTGCTCCAGCACTGGTCTCCTCTCTCCTGCAGTGTTCTAGCATGGTAGTCCCTCCAATGACAGGCAACTGCCACAAGGTTTTGAAGCAATATAGTTTTGTTAAGAGTTATCTCTCACAATGAGGGTAAAATATGTCTCCTTATGTTTTTATCAACATGGACAAAGGTCTAAAATCCTTTTCAAACATGGTATTTCTTCAAATATTTAAAGTTAACGATAATGAGTTTCCTTACTTTACATTTTTATATTCAAAAAATATTAGTGGTCACTCAATCCAGTACCCTCATTTTACCAATAACTAAAAGAGAATCCAATTTTTCAAAGCTGAACTTAAGCAACTATAGAAATTACAAAGTCTATTCTAAAATAAAAATGTTAGAAAAAGATTCCTTACTTAACAGGGACACAATATTCTTTTATTCATCTTAAGGCAATTTTCCACCAGAACATCAAGTATTTCAAACCTTCAAGGTATTAAGTTTTCATAAGTTATTAAGTACTTTAATACCTTCCCTTATGAATTATACATCATATAGATTCTATTTTCCATATTTTGCCAGTAAAGTACAACCATGCTACAGGTAAAAGTTGTACAACTGAAGTGAGAGAAGTTAATATTTACCCAATCCCTTCGATCCTTGGGTTTCTTGTCTGTTTCGAGGTTTAAATGAGATTTGTGAAAGCACTTTGGAAACTGTTAAGTACTATATAAGCCTTATGTATGACTATAACATTCATGTTACATTTTCACAAATGTAAGCAGCTACCAAAATTTAGTTGCTCAAATTTGTGTGTCATTGTACCTTTTATTCAAATATGAATATTAAAAACACAACTCTTAAGCTGGGCCTGGTGGTAAAAACCTTCAAACTGTTATAAAAGTAAATCTTAAAACTCTTAAGGCTTCTGCAAAACCTCATTAGCTATATCATGAGTCTTTTCCTTTGGTCAACTTGAATTAACCTGAGTGTCTAAAATATGCGATTAGTCAATCGCTCAAAAATTATTCCATAAAAAACAAGAATAAAAAGTCAATTCTAGCAAGTCTTCCATTCCAAAAAAAAAAAAAAGACCAACAGCAAAGTATAAAGAACTATAAACTATAAAGAACAAAAAAAACCCAGAAGCTATAATTTGGATCACTTTGGCCTATATTTTTACACATATATTTTAAGTTTCCTAATTTAAAACATAATATTTCTTAGTAATCTCAAGGAATTAAAGTGATATAACAAACCAATTAGACAGAAATTAAGTACCAAACATAAATTTCACGTGATAAAAAGTGTAGTTTAAATTTAATATATAGTTATATGACACAATACATACTGTACACTGTTCTAACTGCTTTATACATCACCATACAAACTCATAAAGTAGATATTATGATCATACTCTCAAGAAAACTGGGATAGAAAGGCATTAAATAACTAACACATTCATTTACCCAGTGAATAAGTGATAGAATTGGAATAAAACTAATGCAATGTGGCTCCAGTGTGCATGATCTTAACCATTGTGCTATGAAAATATTTATGAAGCAATAAGACAATGGAGTTAATATAAAGTAACAATCAACACTATGTAACAACATAAAAGTGGAAAGGCCAAATTTATGACATGTTCATTTATATTTTGAATTTTTCAGTATGAAAGAAGTTGCTCATATTTAGAATTAAATCAATTTTTCCCTGATCAGAATTTGCCAAAATTCTAATTTTATCATATTCATGTAATTCACTTTGTATCTCTTACTGTGTTAAAATAGTATATAGTACAGTAGAGAAGCAACAAATGTTGAATGAATGAATAAAAATGACAAATGAATGGTGTAGCCAATGAAGTTAATGAAATTGAGGGTGGACACCAGTTTGTTGGTACTCAGCAAAAGTGAAAGCTATTTCATGACCATATTGAAATTTGGTGGAAGCAAATGTATAAGGAAAAGTCTCAAATTCACTTCATAGTTTGAGTATAGCTCTAAAAAAGGTAAATAAGGTAGAGGAAAGAGTAGTTGACATCAACTATCATTTTTAAGTTTTAAAATACATGCATAATTGGACTTCCTCTGGCTTCAAAAATCATCATGCTTTATAGAAATATCACGTTTCTTCTAAATAAATTGTATATACCAAAGCTTTTAGACAGTGCATTTCTAGGTGGGCTCTGCCAAACCACAGCCATTGCCTTTCATTTTCTAAAACGTAAAAAAGACATTTTCTAAATGTAAGACGTAAGTGCTATAGCTGCTTAGCTCTGTAGTTTGTTTCAATTATGAGAATGGTTGCAAATTCCATCATCAACCACATATTTAAGATAATTAGCAAGTTTATAAGGACCAATGTACTTTTTAATAGTTTGCTGGTATTTTTAGCCTATGAAAGAGAAATCACAAAACGTGTGGGAACCCTACATCAATATCCAAGGAGAAAATCCTAACCTCCTACTTGGAAAAAGATCTTTAGAAATTGAACAGACAGGGAAGACTGGATCAAGATTAAACCAAGTACCTAAGCCACCTCAGGGAATAAAATAGCTTAGATGAAACACCCTACACCATGAAGGATTTAGATGATAGAACAAGTAAAGTGACCCTAGAGCATGGCAAGAGACTAGTTGTGCTCAGATATGTGAAACAATAATAAGAAAGTAACAGATGGCAAAGAGCTCAAAAGGTACGCAGCATTTGTTGACCCAAGCCAACTAAATGAAATCAGAAAGCTGAAGGGTAAGAAAGCACACATTCATTTTAACACTGACAGAACTTAAACATTATCACAAATGTCGATCAGTACACAACAGGCAGGTGCCCTTATGTTTGCAGGATATGGAGTGGAAAGATGGATGTTCACAAAGGTACTGGCAAAAGGCAAGCTAGACTGCAAAGCATAGAAGTATGCTTGCACTCTTACTGGGGGAGAAAAAGCTAATGGTTTAGTGAACCAAGAGAAAAGCACTTTGAAGACTGAAGACGTTTAAGGGGGGAAAAAAAAAGACTGCCCTTGTCACTGGAAGAAGAGATGGAAGATTGACTACACTTACAACAGAATGGAGACCCAAAGATGGTAGGCGTAAGAAGGGTCGCCAGCGACGAAGACGGAGAGATGGACTGGTAGCCTTTGCAGGGCCTACATGGTTACGTTTGACCCAGGGCAGGGATGCATGGTGACACAATGATGAGGCCTTCGTTCTGCAGTGGCTAGAATGAGGCTGTGATGAGGATGGCGAGGAGGACTACATAATTAAAAAAGAGAATATTTTACTTAGACCACGTTACTGGGTGATCATTTATTCTTAAAAGCAACGTATGGTCATACTTGTATTCATATGGTCTATACTTTTAATAATCATAATCTAGTAAAGGATCACATATGAATATTGTTAAAAATGGGTAAAGTGGAAATATATGCCCCCAAGTATGAGGTTGTATGTCACAGCTTCTGTAAGTGCATATCTGAAATATTTCCATATCCTCATTTGTTTATCACAGACTCATGGAACTGAATATTTAAAAGCCACTAAAACAGAATTATTGTATAAAATTGTTTTTACAAATGTAACAAGTACACAAAGGTCACGTAACACATACAAAACACACAAAGAATAATAGGTGGAAAGAAAACCATATGGTGACAGGCATTGGTAAAAAGAATTCCTTAGAAGGTATAAACACTAGAGAGAAAAAAAAACTTTCAAATGTAAACAAGAAATGAAATTAACCCCTCTGAAGATGATGACTGAATACATTGTTCTCTTAGGCTGAAAAGTTACACAGAAAATATTACAACCTATTAACCATCTTTTAGTAAACAA